AAAGCTAAATCATTGACCAATGTTTTATCAATTGTGACTACTAAGAAATTGATGTCAAAATGTTGTTCAACTTTTTAGGCTACTGTGATAGATTGTTGAGCATCTAAGGTCAGTTTGGAGGATATTCCGAAAGTTTGGAATTCAATATTTATTTTTTCGGGTATTGCACGTAGTTTGATGGCCTTGAATAGAATGTCTCTGACTGAACTCAGAGAGCTAAAGATGCAGTTGCAATATCTCCTTGATCGGGTTTTTATTAGACCAAGTGTGTCTCTGTGATGCCCATTGGTACTTTTTGTTAAAAAACATGGATCTATGTGATTATGCATAGATTACTGTCAACTGAAGAAAGTGACGGCGAAGAATATATATCCTCCTCTGAGGATCGAGGATATGTTTGATCAGCTTAAAGGTGCTTTGGTATTTTCAAAGATTTATCTTCGATCCGGGTATCATCAATTAAAGATTAAAGAGAAAAATGTTCTGGAAACGTCTTTCAGAACCCGATATGTCACTATGAGTTTGTAATTATGCCATTTGGATTTACCAATGCTCCTATAGCATTTATGGATCTGATGAATCAGGTATTTCAACAGTATTTAGATCAATTTTTGGTCATGTTTATTGACAATATTTTTGTTTAATCCAAAACAAAATAAGAACACAATGCACATCTCTATATTGTATTTCAAACATTACGGGATAAAAAACTTTATGCCAAGTTGTCAAAATGTGAATTCTGTTTGCCAAAAGTTTCTTTTCTTGGCGCATTATTTCAACAGAGGGAATCAGAGTTGATCCCAAGAAAGTAAAGAAATAGTGGAGTGGAAAACTCTGTAAAATGTTTCTAAAGTTAGAAGTTTTCTAGGATTAGTTGGTTATTATCGGATATTCCTGAAAATTTTCTTGATGAATGCTTCTCCACTTACTAAGTTGCTAAGAAAAATGTGATATTTGTATGGATCAAAAAGTGCCAAAAAAACCTTTGACATGCTTAAGAAGATTCTGATAGAGGCATCAGTTTTAGTGCAACCAGAATCAAGAAAAGACTATGAGATCTTTATTGATGCATCTTATAATGACTTGGGACGTGTGCTCATTCAAGAAGGCAAGGTGGTGGCTTATGCTTCGAGATAGCTGGAAATACATGAAAGGAATTATCTGACTCATGATTTGGAGTTAGCAGTTGTTGTATTTGCTTTAAAGATATGGCGCCACTATATGTATGATGAATGGTGTTATATCTAAATGGATCATAAAAGTTTAAAGTATCTGATAACTTATAAGGAATTGAATCAGAGACAAATGAGATGGATCGAGCTCCTAAAACATTATGATGTGATTATCGATTATCATCCTGGAAAGGCTAGTGTAGTGGCTGATGCACTTATCTGAAAGACGTTTTTATGCTTGAGAGCTTTAGATGCTCGATTGTAAGTGGAAAAAGATTATACGCTTATTAAAGAATTAAAGTTGAGGCATGCATTATTAGATCGGATAAAAGATCTTCAATATAAAGACGAGAAATCCTTAGTAAGAATTGATTAAGTGAACAAGGGAGAAAGTAAAGACTTTGAGGTTAAATTTAATGGAAGTTTGTATTATCGAGGACGGATTTGTATTCCCTGTGATGAAGAGTTGAAAAAGCTATTCTTTCTGAGGCTCATTATAGTCCTTTAGCATTGCATTCAAGAGGAAATAAAATGTATCAAGATCTGAAAAGCCAATATTGGTGGGTGGATATGAACAAGGCTATAATAGAGTTTGTATCTAAATGTTTGCCATGATAACAGGTGAAAACATAACATCAAGTGACATCTGGTTTACTACAAACTAATTTCATTTCTCGGTGGAAATGGGAAAGAGTTACTGTGTATTTGGTGAAAGGGTTCACTTTGACACCTAGTAAGAAAGACTTGATCTAGGTGATTGTTGATAGATTGACTAAGACATCACACTTTATTCCAGTTCGAGCTTATTACTCATTGGATAAAGATGTTGAACTTTATATCAGGGAGATTGTGTGTCTTCATGGAGTACCTATCTTGATAGTTTTTGATAACTTCTGAGGTTTACTTCGAGGTTTTGTAAGTCTTTGCACAAAGCCTTGGGAACTCAACTAAAATTCAGCACAACTTTTCATCTACAAATAGATGGATATTCTAAGTGAACTATTCAAATACTTGAAGACATGATGAGGGCATGTGTTATTGATTTAAAAGGATCGTGCGAAAAGTATTTTCCTTTAGTAGAGTCTTATAACAATAGTTATCAATCAAGTATCAAGATGGCTCCTTTTGAGGTATTATATGAGAAAAATGTCAAGCGCCATTAAATTGGTATGAGCTGAAAGTTCAAGATTTAATCGATATGGATTTAATTAATGTAGTGGAAGATAAAGTAAAACTTATACAAGATAATCTCAAGATAGTTGTTGACCAAAAGAAATCTTATTCAGATCAAAAAAGGAAAGAGATTGAATATCATGTCAGTGATACGGTATTCTTTAAAGTATCACTGTGGAAAAATGTTTTGAGGTTTAGGGTAAAAACAGTTGAGTCCCAGATTTATTGGCCCATATGAGGTTATAAAGAGAGTTGGTATGGTAGCTTACCAGTTAGCATTACATCCGGAGATGGAAAAAAATTCAAAATGTATTTCATGTATCAATGCTTTGGAAGTATCGATCGAATCCTTCACATGAGATTACACCTAAGAAAATTGAAATTCAACCAGACTTGTTATATAAAGAAGAATCAGTAATGATTTTGACTTATGGATTCAAATAACTTAGAAACAAGACGATTCCACTAGTAAAAGTTCTTTGGGAGACTCATAAAGTTGAGGAAGTGACCTGGGAACGAGAGAAATATATGAAAATGTAGTTTCCTCATCATTTTACATCAGGTATGTAAATACTTATAGAAAATCAAGGATGAAGTTTCTTTAAGGGGGAAGAATTATAATACCCTAATTTTGATTCGGGATTTGTATTAAAGGCTATAAATCAGAAAAGTCTGGTAAAAAATTGGATAATCGAATCGGAATTTCATGAAAATTTGAATGATGGTAGATAAAGTTTGTAATATTATTTCCTTATTTTAATATAGTGAAATTTAATGTGGATCAGTGGAATTGAAGTTGATATTTCATATTTGGTCGAAATTAAGAAATTTAGTGACTAAAATATAATTTTTGAAAATTGCATGTCCAAAATAGAAATTCTACCTTAAATTGGTTCATCTTTTACTATGTAATATTATAATAGAAGATATTCCAATGGCAAACTATAATTATCATGATTCATTAAAGGCAAAGTTGGGATTTCTCATTAATTGAATTTTAAAATTTAATTATATTAGTTTTAAGCTAAGTGTTTTATGAGAAAACTACTAGAAAAATCAAGACATCTTCATCTTCTACTTTCTTCGTCCAACTTCACCATGGCCACCAAGGTAAGGATTTTACTTTGATTTTTCAACTTTCATGGTTGATTTTTTAATTAAGTTATTAGATATAGAATTATCCTCTTGAAATTCTCTATCATTTGGTATAAAACTTTCTTGGAAAGCTTGAATGATAAGTTTCTTAAATTGGGTGGTTGAAGAACATGTTTGATTTTGAAGGATTTATAGAAGATTTTTATGCTAGTGAGGTTGTAGATTAATTTTAAAGCACGAGTGATGATTAAAATCAAGCATAAAAGCATATATGATTTTTGTCCATGTTAGGGTTTATGAAGATTGATTGAATTTTGATTGACTTTGATGTTAGAATGATTGGAATAGCATGAATTTCAAGTTTATAGGTTGAATTCAGGCTTGAAATTGAATGAAAAGTTTACCCTGATGTACTAATGATATTCTTCCATAGGGAGAATATTATGGGAAAATGTTAAAAAAATTTATATGGTCTAAAATTGATATTTGATGAGTTCTACATTCTTTGGAGATTGCATTGGATCAATTTGAAACCTTGAGATAGTAAAAGGACCATTTTACAAGTTTTGGAAATTATGAGACATTGATACTACAATGCTGAAATTTAACTATTGAATACTGAATTTTAAGTTATAATGTTGATTTCAGGACCAAATTGCAAATTTGGTAAAGTTGTGTCGTGGAATTCTAATGGTCACAGAAATTAGGACTTAGTTGCAAGTTTGTAAAAGTGATGGTACTATTTGAGTATGATACTACAATGCTGGAAATTACTATTTGAATGCTGGTTTTCAAGTTTAAGTATTTGTTTGAGATCAAATTGTAGGTTGGTAAAGTGAATGGTTGAATTCGAAAAGGTTAAGAAAAATTAAGGATGAAATTGCAAGTATTCAATTGTTAAAGTATAGGATTGGGTATATTATTTACATGCTGGAAATTTTAATGTTTGAATTGATATATGTGGAAATGATGAAGGATCATTTTGAGCTAAATGGAAAAGTTGATGTGAATTCTAAAGAGAATTCATAAATAGTGATTTAAATGCAAAGTTTATGAAAATTGAAGGGTTAATGATGAGAATGAATATTTATGGAATTAATAATTGTTTTTCAAAAGGTTGAAGTAATCATGGAATAGTGATTTGGTTTTATATCAATAAAGTATCGATTTTATTTTATAGAATTTTATACAATTGAGTTTGGACTATGTTAATATAATACTAACATATAGTTTGAATAGTTTGTATATGTTATGTCGTATAGACTACGACAAATCTTACTATCCTAGTGACTCAAAAGCAAAGAAAAAGCACGTGAGTAAAGGAATATTGTATAAAAGTTCAGTAGTGAAAAAAATATGAGTGTAGTTTATTTATGCGATAAATCAATCTCGTGTGATTTTAAATAATGATTTGATTTTAAGGATAAATATTTCCATAATGATTTCATAAATGTTTTTTTTAATTATTTTAGGGTATGAACTACCCAAGCATTAGTTTTAAATAAATGATATGTTGAACATCATATGTGTAGACACATATTTTTGTCATGGTCGAAAAAATATTATTAATTAAAATATATTATTATTATTATTAATTTTATTACATATGTTTGCAGGCCTAGACTCAAAGCCCATTATAAGTGACCTAGTTATCAACTGAATCCCAATGAAGGGACCTAACTACCCAACAGTTGATCCAGACAGAAATTTGACCCGACCCGGAGGTGACCCGTAGTTGACCCGGATCCTACCCATCTTCAACTAGGCTTTTTAAACCCTAAACTAAACTATCATCCAACCGCCTCCAACGATTGAAACAAGTTACCGTCGCCAGTGACCAACTCTTCAACTTCAGCCACCGCCACCATGGTCAAGCCACCGAATGAAGCCATCACCGACGAGCCACCGAGCTGCCGAGCGACCGAAGGTGCTGCATCACTACCTACGTCAAACATCACTCGAAAAACCACAAACCAATTAGATCCGACCTAACCCAGTAAATATTAAAAATATACTCCACTATACTCACTAAATCACATTATTCTCAACCCAAAAATACCCATAAAATGACATACAACAAGGATTCGAGTTGGGGGAGGCATTCGGGAAACAGGAGGAACAGTCGGAGGGGGAATTCGAACAACCATAAGCAAGAAAAAGACAAAAGAAAAAAAGAAAACGAAGGAAATAAGAGAGGGAAGTGAGGCTCGTCACCTAAGTAAATCACCCGAGTGGCATTGTCTACATCAAAGCTTTGAAGGTCCTTTCTATTTTTCGCAAGTTCATTTGAGAGTGGCTTTTGGAAGTCTTAGTCTCGGTTTAAGGTGGTTTGGGGCCGAATCTAGGCAAAATTTAAGTGTGTGTGTCTAAAACGAGCGGGAGGAGCACCATCGGCGTGTGATGGCCGAGCTTTGTCTTCGTTTCGACAAGCAACGCGTTTGAAATGGGAAAGTAAAACATAAATGAAAGTAAAACATAAATGAAAGAAAGTAATAAGGTTTCCAGGTTGTCAAGCGGCAGAAAAGGCAGGAATTAATATAAATATTTGGTTTTTGGGTTAACTTCATTTTAGTCCTTTGATTTTTAGCGCTAATTTACATTTTAATCACTGTTATTGTACTTTTAGGTTAAATATTGATTATGATTGGGTTGTTTTACTTTTATTTATATTTTAGTCCTTTATTTACTTTATGAAAATGGAAATTTACATATCTAGTGCATGATATCTTCCTGGTGTATGTTTTAGTCACTGTTTAGATTTATTTTGGGTTATTTGCTTGTTTGGCCCATGTTATTTTACTTATGTGTTATTTATACTCTTTGTTAATTTTTTTAAATATTTTAATCCTTAAAATTTCCATTTTACTGTTTAGTCCTTTAATTGACTATTTATGTTATTTTAATCCTTTAAGTACATATTGTTGATAGATTTCTTATCATGTTAAAGAATTTTCTTTAAAACAAATTAATCAATGTTCAATAATTGGATCATATTTTTAACTTGATATTTGATTCAGGATTTCCACCATTACGACAACATGTAAGTAACACAGTACCAATTTTGTGCGATTTGGGGGTGTTAATCCTTCCCCACGCGTAATCGACTCCCGAACATGTTTTAATCGAATCTTTTGTAAACGCATATCAACTTTTGTCTTAAAAATGATTTTTCTTAAAATTGTTTTTAAAAGACTGTTTTAGGTATTTGACCTACTTAATCCAGAAGTCGATGGCGAATCTTTTCAATTTAATTCAAATTAATCTAAAAACACCAAAATTTCCAAAATTTAAAATCATAACCTTTTTTAAAAACAATAAACAATTGTCCCACCCTAAAAATGGTTATGACAGCTTGACGACTCTGTTGGAGACTTTTTTTTAGAGAGTCAGGCTGTAAGTTGCTTACACATTATTGTTTGGTGGAAATTATGAGTTCGAGTCTTTAGTTAACTTATGATCCTTTTATTGAAGTTTTTAATTGCTTCATTTTATTATTTTCTTACTAACATTTTTATCTTTCCTTTCAGCTCAGTTCAAGTTTTTTGTGGAGTTTATTGTTTTCCTCTTGAGTCAAAGAGTTGAATGTTCCTCCTCACACACATCAAGCGTATTTGCATAACATAAGCTCTATACCCGAGCTCCGAACCCTTTCTAAGTGGGGTAAAAGCGACACCTTCGTGGGAATTTATTCTCCATATAGGCCTAGCAAGTAACCTTCGGGATTCATATACCTTATGTCTTCGAGGGAATTTATTGTCCGCATAGGCATAAGGGAATGTATCCTCTCGAATTGAACTCATTCTGATTGAAACCTGTCATGGGTGAGGATCGAGGGTTTGGCAACCCAAGGGGGCACTGGCATCAAGGACAATTCGAGTACCTTTTTCCTCATAGAGCCAAAACCATGCATATAGTGAACCGTAGAACAGTCACCCTAGGTATAGCTATACCCTCTGTCCGTCAGTAGGTACCCAAATTAAGTGTACATAAAGGAGGAGCGTTTCTAAACCTTTTTCTTTTACTTTAAATTCGTAGAATATATTTTTCTTTTTGAATAAAAGCATGCGAACTAGATACCATGCGGTTAGGATTATTTTCTTGAAATTAATCATTTGGGTAGAAAGCATGTCTGGGTAGGATTACTATTTAATTAAAGCATGTTCGGGTAGATATCATGATTGGGTAGGTGTTATATTCATCTTTGAATAACATTTTTATCTGTATCGATTATCTTACATGTACTAACTAATTTCTTTTATTTTGTTTGTGTACACTAACTTATTTATTTTGATTGTATCATTTTTCATTCTACTTTGCATTGCATTGCATCAACATAACATAATGCAAAAGTGTTGATTCGCAAGGGGATACTCAAGTGGAAATTTTGCACAAGAAGAGATAAAAAATTTCAGTCAAGCAGTCGCAAACACAGACATGCGCTGAGGGCTAAGAGAAGTCCAGAGTACCAGAATAGACTTATTCGAAGATCGTGCAACATTTGAGATTGGAAAGCTGATCATTTGATCCAAGAAGTAATCTAACAGTAGATTCTTATCTACGATCATCTCATAACTAGTCATCAAAGAGCGACGTATTGACTTCAACACCGCCGAGGTGTTAATGAAGTTAGTTTACAGAGCATTGAGGGGCATCAATTCCAAATAAAAGATCCAAGACAAAGTAGTGAGCTTAAAGATTGTGCAGCATTTGAGACTGAAATGACGATCTGCTAATCCAAGGAGTAATCCAGTAATAGATTCTTATCTATGATAATTTCATCGTTAAATATCAAGGAGTAATACACTTCAGCACTGTCGGGGCATTAACAGAGTTAGGCTACAAAGTGTGGGGGGCATCATTTTCAAGGATGAAGATCCAAGATGAAGTGGTGATCCATTTCAGACTAACATCTAAGCGAAGGCGTGTCTGTAAAATGGACTATGATATAATGTGAAAGCTTTTATTTCTGGTGAAAATATTCTACGATGTCCATCGTTGGGATCAACATTTTTTTGCATTTTATTTTTGCATTTGCATATGCATTTGCATCTTTGCATTTTTCATCTGCATTTGCATCTTTACATTCTGCATGATGCATTGTATTCAGAGGATCATCAATTTTGCATCTGCATTTGTATCTTCGCATTCTGCATGATGCATTGTATTTCATAGGATCATTAATTTTGCATCTGCATTTGCATCTTCACATTCTGCATGATCATCATAAATAAAAGAAAGGTGTTGATTAACCAAGTAATCATCAGATTAGAAGAGTGATCATTTAAATGAAAAAGAATTTTCATAACAAGGAAGAACTCAATCTAACGGTCTGAGTTTGGTCTGAAGAAACACAAACGACGAAAAGAGATAGTTTGCATAGGAATTTTGTATCACAGATGTCCACCGAGTTTAATGTCAGTTTCAAGCAGATTGATTTACAATAGTTGATAGAGATTTGGAGAGTAGTTACCAAAGAGAAAATTCGTAAGAAATAGGGTGACATGGTCCACTCCTCTGCATAAAGATAGATAATCTATTGCTTAAAGCTCTGGTCCGATGCCAGAATTCCGCATACAACTGCTTAACTTTCAAAAGACAAGATTTAACACCAACAATAGAAGTGTATTGCTCTATTTGACTTCGAAAGATTCAGAATTCATTCCAGACTTTCGAAAGTCCAATCCTTTAAAAGCAAGCTTGTAAAGATTACGAATAGAGTTGAAGATTTGATAGAAAAGCACATCCAACAAAAAAATGTGTGTCTTTCTGTGACATTGTCTCAAGAAGGTTTCATTGGAAAGGGTATAAATCTTGCACCGGCTATCTTGACAGAGACCTTCTGATCCTTAAATAATTATCGCAAATTGGAGGGAAGTCGATTCAGAAGTTGCGCTTAACTACTCACCGTCTGGATTCAAAGTTATTTCTGGAAAGATGATAACATAGTTGGGATCATGGCTGAGATCATGAAGCTAAGGACCAAACCGCATTCATAGATTGGTCTCTCATATAAAGATGAAAGTTCTTTTGGATAAATGAAACTCTTTCTAAGAATGGTTACTTTTGGAAATCAATACCTTTTGCATTTACATTCTGCATAGCATTCATTTAAGCATTTTTACATGCATAATTCATAAAAAAAACATGGAGCTAATTCATAGAGGATTCTATAAAGTGGTCCTAACCACGTGACACCACATAAAATCAAGAAGTTGAAATTAGTACAGTTTGAGCTTGTTTAGCTGGTTATAGGACTGAGCCTTCCAGAATGATCTGAGAAAATAATCCCATATCCTGAGGGTTACGATATTGATATCGTGCACAGTTACCACATAGGAAGCTCATGACATTCCTCCGAGAATTGTGAGAAACTGAAGCGCAATATGTATAACTTGATTAATTCAGGGGCATGGATAATCGGAAAATGATGGGGGCATGGAATCTAACACATTGCAATTAGAACATTGTTTTGTTTAAAATCATTTTTGTTATGTCTTTTATATTTGTTTAATCTTTTAAACGACTGAACTTATGCTACCTTCTAAGGTTGAATAATTGAACTAGTTTTAATCTTTAGTTCTTCAAATATTGAATAAATTAAGGATTCTTTTAATTCTTCAAGAATTATAGCTTTTTGACATATGGCAAGATCAGACCTTTCTTATCCTGACTAAAACCAAAAAAATATGTCGATTCTTTACCCATAATAATTCATGGATATACAAAGAGTCATACTGATACCTTTGAGTCAATAAAGTCACATCATCATCTTTTTAGACGCAACACTGATATCTTTATACCAATTAAACCTAAGGCATTGAGTTGTTCACTTGAGCATGAACCTTCCTACTAGAAGACACAATGTGGGGCATCTGGCATCAACTTCCTGAAGATGAACCTAAACAATTGAGACATGCTGGGAGCAAGAAGCAGAAAGGAGAGTTAATTCGAAATAATTATATTATGTATTAATTACATTGTTTTCATGTGAATAAAACTTAATCATGGAAATCTATCGCCCTGGGGATACCTCTTCTACTAGGACTTCTGTGTATAAGATGATGAACAACTTTGTTTCATTTATCCATATATGTATATATATATCCCATGTTGTACCCTTTTGAGCCTATAGTATTTTTTTCTAATTCAACCCTAACCAAGGATCACCCTCCTCACTGGGGGGCAGAGTGGAAAAAATCTGCTCACATGAGTGAAGACATCAATCCTAGAGGAGATACCAAAAGGTGAACCAAGTGCCAAGTGTAAAGATCCAATCAGAACAAAAAGAGAAAAGAAACAAAAAAATTAAAGCAAAGAGAATAAAAAAGAGCAACAACAGCATGATGAAACTGAAAGAAGAGAACGAGTTATTTACCATCTCAGTAAGAAATTACTGACTGTGAGAGTCGATATTCCTCAATTGAAAATTTGTGTTGTGCTTTGGTATGGACTACTAAGAGATTGAGATAGTATTTGTTATATCACACAACCT